AAGTCCACAGCCAGATTCTGGAAGATGTCCATGTGTGCCGAGTGGGTGATGGTGCTCATTGATGGCGTGCTGCCCTTGTTGTGGATGTGTGCGATGGCCTGAGTCCCTACATAGAGCACCAGTGCATTGATAAGCTGGAGGTTGTAGCGATTGCCAGGTTCGTTAGATACCTAAACGGGCAAAAGAGGAAACTTTACCAGAGAACTGACTAGCTTTCTTTTTTCCAGAGAGAGGATCTCACAATGTAGCTCTGGCTGGGCTCAAACTCAGAGATCCACCTGCCTCTGCATCCCAGTGCTGAGATTAAAGGCGTGTGTTACTATTTCTCAATCCTTCTTAAGGCTCTCTAGAAGGGATACATTCTTGATATTTTTTTGATTTAAATAAATCTGCTCAGCATTGTGAGCTGTACAAATGTACAGCTGCCATAAGAGTAATTCAACCAGCAAATGTGAGTTCCTTTGGGAAACCAAATACTATCACTTTTCACACGATATAGCTATAAAATAAGGTTTATCCATTCAAAACAAGCATAACCTCAATTATATACATTGGGAAAAATAAGTTGTTGTATAGTGTGCTAACACTGGAATACCAATAACACTTCAAGTCACTCTATAAAGCAAATTTAACTGCAATCCTTTTATTTAGCAATGTCTTTTCCCTAGTAGTCTCATCTATAACTGGGTCAATGATAAAATGTTAGCAAAATATAACCCAGTTAAGCTCACCCAATGAACAGGTATGACAATGTTTTGGTGTGTATTTTTTTGGGATAAGGTCTTGTCACTGTAGTTCGGGTTGGCCACAAACTCGTGATCTGTCTGCCTCAGTTTCCTTAGTACCAAAGAAACAGGTGTGCATTCCACATCCAAATTCAACCATGTTTCTAAATGTATAAATCAGGTTGGAAATACTACCTCCAAAGATAAGACATAGAATAGACAGTGCACACAAAGTGCTCTGTACAGAAGACTCAGCAGAGAACAACTTAAGTCAAACCAATTAACCTGTAGGTTACTGCGAAGATCCGACAGAAAAGTGACAGGAGATCGAGTTTTAAGATATGAATCCAAATCCTTTTTGAACTGAGGTGGCATCAC